TACATATATATATATATATATATATATATATATCATTCAAGTATTATTCAAACATGACAACAAAATATTTTAGACTATTTATTACCCATGTTTATTTAATTCTTGAATGTTTTTAGTAAGTACGATAGATTTCAAAAGGATTAAATTTTTCAAAATGTATATTCAATTTTATCTTGGATTAAAATTTAAAATCGTTTACAACGGACTATTATTTGGTAAAAGACGCAACTTTTAGCTGATTATCTTTAAAAATTACAACTATGACGGATATATTATCAACGCTGCCTCGGTAATAACTCTGTAAGGTGATGCTTTTAGCTCCGTAATGGGGTTCGTCTAACCTGTCTTTGATGAAGGCCACGGCTTCTTCGTTTGAAAACGTGTCCCACAAACCATCGGAGGCCAGGACAATGAACAATGGCTTGTGATCGTTTAATTCGAATGTTAGAATATCTGGGTCTGCGATTACTAATTTTCTATCTTTGAGAGGATAGTCGCCCATTGCTCTGGAAGTCGCCAGGATTCCTGCTACTCTCCAAACGCCGTTGAATTCGATGAAGCCTCCTGCTTCTTTGATTCGTTTTCTTTCTCTCATCTGGGGAAAATAATAGACATTTATGTTTTACCAAACAAAAATAATTATATTTCAAAATGTTCTTAAATTTAGTTCTAGTGATGAGTAGGCTTTGTTTTATACAGTTTTAAAGTGTCGTCGACGAACCAAAACAATCAATTTAAAATGGAATATTTCAAAAGTAAGTTTGCATTGTTTGAATATTTGTTTGACATATATTGATTTACATCAAACTGTATTGGAATAAAAATGTCAAAATGACATTTATTCATTTTAGGTGTCAAGTTATTTAATTAGCACGCTGTAAGCGGATCGGGTAAAAATACCCGTTTCGTAAAATGCTACTTGCTATTTTTACTATTTTTAAAAATGGTGCAGAGTTAGTTTAAATTAATTAATTTAACTTTTAAAAATAATACATCAAACCGGTAAAAATACCCGTTTCCCGAACTGCTACAGGGTTTTTTTTATTCATTTGATATACTATTTTAAAATCTGGTATTTCTGTTGAGATCGATTGAATTACTTGTTCATACAACATTAAAAAGGCATTTATACATAATAAAAAAATTTTTAGTGCATATGTTTATGTGGGGCAAACACAGAATAAATGTGCTTTAACTTGTTTTAGTGTTTTTCGCACTCAACAGAGGCTCTATTAATACTGCTCAAAAATTCATCGCTCTTCTTAAAGAACAGCTTCTCTTATTATAATACAGGGGCATTAAACGTTTAATTTTCGTTTATTATATATTTTTGTGAAAACACATTTGTAATTTAGTTGAAAATAGGCGTATATTTTGTTCTCATTTCATTTATTCAAATAAATCAGGTTTATCTATTCCATATTTGTATAACCCTTATCTAGAATTAAATCTAGAGGTATATTTACGTGCTACAGTTAGTGGCGCCCCTGTAGAGTGCGGTAACAACTAAAATTGAATTAATAGCAGAACGGTGTTTGCGATCCAATTATATTTCTTTGCATATATCTTTTAAAAAAAAGTGTTGGTCTGATAAAATGTTAGTGTTAGCTAACTCTAATTTTCAGAAAAAAATCTTTTAAATTTTCCCAACAGATCAGCGTAAGGTTGCTTAAGTCGTACCCCCTAAAAACATAATCCTATAATATTTAGAGCAATCTCTTTTTTTTGGGACGCATATATTTATTGTCAATCAAAATATACATTATTTTTTAAGACAATATGCTGGTGTTCAGGCCCTTGAAGATTTTATCTCCAATGAGATAAGTCCCTTTTTTAAAAATTTTTTACTAGCAACAAATACTTTACTTAAAACAAATTTGATGTTCATTGAATCTTATCTACAAAATATTTAGATGGCTTATGATTAACAATTACTGTTTTTTTTTATTGAAATAAGTATTTTAACAATGTTGAAAAATGCGCTTTAACGATTAAGGCGCCTTAGTCCTACTTACTGCTAAAAAAATTATACGATTCGGTCTCTGATCAACTTTTCTGTAGTAATAAGTTACTTAGACAAACAAAATTATTATAATAGCACCTCAAATAAATTAATAATTTCAAAAAGCAACGCATGTACTTATAAAATTTTCATGAATAATATAATAGCCTTTATTGGTTACACCCACTTGGCGTTTATCAATTTGAGAAAAAAACTTTGAACATTTGTATTTATCCATTATTCCTTCAAATTTATAAAAAAAACATAATTAATGCTTTTTATTAAACTATTGCGAGTAAGGAATTGCGCAAAGGCCCACTTAAGCTGCATTAAAATGAAAAAAATTTAATATGCCTAAACAATTGTCAAATAAGTACTGTAGACAAACATTAGTAGGAAAAATATGTCGGGATCATATTTTTGTCATAATAGGCTAACAACTGAGTTGAAAGTTCACCAAAGTCTATTTTTTTAAATATTTCTATTTCACAAAACCGTCCAGCAAACCATACGTGCAATATCACATTGTCTTTACAAATCAATAAAAATAAAATATTTTAACCCTGCTGGATTATATAATTCTCCTGCAAATTCTATTAGAACACCAATAACTGTCTATTCAATCTTTTTTTAATATCAAGTTCAATCTTACCGTAACACATCATAACAAAAACTAATCTACAAACTTATATTATTTCTAATTACTAACTTCATTTCTACATAAAAAAGTTTCAACCAACTGCATATAGATTCAATAAACGCCAAAGATAAATTCTTCCAAGCTAAGTAACTGTACTAAATATTATAGCGTTATTTTCTTGGGGGGTAAAAACAACTTTATGCTAATTTGCTGGAAAGAATTGAAAAGTTTATTCTGGAAATTAAAGCAGTGATTGTTCACTAACCACTAACATTTTATCAGACAAACACTTTTTTAAATAATTTTTGGAATAATCATTTTAGGAGAAAACTTTTTGATGTGTTTTTCAAATATATAATATTTCAATATTGAATCAAAGTATTTTATTTTTATTGATTTAAATGGGCAACGAAACAGTCTATAATTGGTGACCCCGACATGACACATGCATGTTATATTTTATCAAAGATACATCTTTAAATATTCATAAGAAGTGTTGCAATCAAGTATTATCCAAGGTTTTAACAAATTCTCTTTGTCCAACTATTTAATAATGATTTATTGTTTTAGATAAGACCGCTTACCTGCTGTGGCTTATGGTCGAAAGACAGAGGAATGGCGTTTCCCTTGGAATCGCACATAACTCCTCTCGAGTCTCCAACGTTGGCCACGACGAGACGCGTTCCTTCCAATATTCCGATGAGGGCAGTTGTTCCGGCGACGTCGATCTAAAGGTAAAGATCAATTAGTTTTAATCCATTTATCTAAAATATGTATGTACATATATATATATATATATATATATATATATATATATATATATATCTTATATATAAAAATGGAGCTCTCGCTAAAATGATCCGCTGAAACTCGAAAACGGCTAAACCGATTTGGCCAGTCTTAGTCTTGAAAAATTCGTGCCAATCCAGAAAAGGTCGGAAAGGTTAGATATTATTTCAAAATCGTGTAGAAACTTTACATTTTTAATTTGAACATTTTTGTAGAAGCGTAATTCGAATAAAACAATGGACGGTGACTAATACGTCAAATGTCAAACGTTTTTTACAGATGATGTTCAATTCCGTTTAATAGGATGTTTTGCGTGAATATTATTTAATTATGATCTAATTGTAGTAAGTAGTTTTGTTTATAGTTTTATTTGTACACAAAAACGTTATTAAACGGGCCTCAAGTGTTACTATAAACTCAAAATATCAACTTTTTTGAAATGTTAAATATGAAAATGCATTTTTTTGCGTTGTAGCACTCTTTTTTTGTAAATCATATTTTTCTCAAACACGGTGCTCTGAAAGCTCTCATTTGTATAATTATATACTCATTGGTATTTATAAAACATGTTCTAGGTTATATAATTTTTTTAATTTAAATTCAGAACCTAAATTTGGTATCGATCAAAGGGACATTTTGTCGAATAACATTTTCCCAGTTATAATTTCCCTGAATATATCGAAGAATAGATAGCAATATATGAAGGTCCGGAATTAAAAAGGTTCACCGCCGATGTGTCAAAAATGAGTAAAGTTAAGCATTGTTTAACAACAATATTTGAAAGTAGAGGAAAAAAATTGTATAACCAGCTATAACCTTGATTTGAAAACGGTAATCTTTGAAATGGGGGAGATAAACGGTAATCTTTGAAATCCATAATAAAAGTATTTTTTTCCGTTGGTAGTTTTTTAGCATTAGTTAAAAATGTAATTATTTCGTAAAATACCTTTAAAATTATAATAAGGCTTTAAACCATTTTGCCACCTGGACGTTCCAAGTTATTACGCCTATAGAGTAAAAAGGTCTAGATAACAAATTTTTGAAAGACATCAAAAAAGCACATTTCTACAATGATGAAGTAGAAGGAAATTTACTGAACTCATATAATTGTTCATTTGATATGTGTTATTTGTTGTGATATAATTGTTATGGTTTTCACAATATAGTTTATATTTGCTCAAAGTCAAATTGGACCTTTGTGCCTCGCCCTACTCTACATATATAGTTTTTTTTATATTTACTTTAATTCATCGAATGTTACTTAAAACCTTTCAAAAAGCAGGTCAAAGAAGAAATACTTAATTCATTTTCTATCTCTCCTCGCAGAAATTTGAAAATTTTGTATAAGCTCAGTAGTATTATTTACAATTATACACAAAATGCAGAATCCAAAAAGAATCTGAAAAACTTGAAACGTAATCAATAAGTCGAAAGAGCAAAAAAGACTTGGATTGGATTATACCATGTTTTCTATGGACAAAACAGACAAATTAATGGGGTTTATTGTTTTTATAATACCTCATTGTATATAGCATTCAAACAACACATCCTTATACACTAAAATTATTATTATTTTTGATTCTCTAGAAATTGTTTAGAATATACCTTACTTAGCAAAACAACGTTCGACGGGTCAGCTAGTGAGATACATATATATACATATATATCCGACTTTCCTAAACTGGTATTAAATCTGTTAACTCGTATGGGAAGGAAGTGGTTGCTTTCTCGTCTTACAGGCAGTTTTATAACCTTTTAGATATACAAGTCAAAATAATGCCATTGTGTATTTTCCAGAAAATACAAAAATATTACTTCAAAGATACAGAACAATGAAATTGTGTTCAAGTGTGAATAGCTCAAATGTATAATTTATTGAATAGTAAGGGTGCAGCTAGTTATATTATATTTCTCCAAAATAAACTTGTTTAGTTCCCTTGATTTTAACAAAAATCTGCAATTACTTAGTTGCCCTCAACTGTATTTTAAAATTCAATCTTTCAAATATCATTTTACTACATAATATCTATTATAATATAATTCTATTATACATACAGTTTTCTTAGCTTTTTCAACAAGCAGTCGATCAGCTGCAAGAACCTCATCAGTCAACAGCTTCCCATAATCGATCTTCCCAGAACCATCTAAATAACTTTCACTTGGTATAACAGGAGACTTTCCCACCGGTTTGCAAGGCCTGACTTCTTTGGTTATCGGCCTTTGCAACGAATCCAATTTCTTCAGTAATTCAGGATCCGTTACATTCGTAGATTTATTCAATGCATCTTCTGCTACACTTAAAGTCTTTTTCATTTTATTCCTATTTGTTAGTAATGGTGATGCAGGCGGTTTTTCCGCATCCTTCTTTTCTGAATCGTTTGGTTGGCACGGATCCAGGGTTATTTTTGGAGACTTTCCTGGATAAAAAAAATTGAAATAGAATAAAATTAAATTAACGTTATTATTATTAGATTTGGTATTACCTGAAGCAATATTTTTTATGTCGACTACCCTATTGAATAAGTTTTGAATCAGAAATTCTTTGGCATAGTTAGCTGCAAATTCTCCTCCATGACCGTCGAATATTGCAAATAGCGCGACTCCGGTGTCGTTGATATTCTCATTTATTATAAACCTGAATAGAAAATTATATATATATATGTATATATATATACATATATATATATATATATACACCTAAGTCTGTTTTTACACGGAGATTGGTTCCAGAAGAAGCCGTGTAAAAAAAAAACGTGTAAAAAAAGACATTGATCTTATACAAAAATGGGTGATTTGTCCTACTCTCTAAAACCTATTAAAATTAGTGTAAAATAAGAATTTTCAAGAACAAGAGTTCATGTTTATTTTAATAATAATTCCCCTAAATTAGTGCTGTTCACATTTGCTTTGACCAGTAAAAATTGTTTGTACGCGCTAAAGGGGAATTCACTTAAATCTTTAAGCTAGTTTTTGCAAACTAACGATACTATAGATGGTTTCAGACTTTTTTCTTTCATAAGTACTTTTTTGTGATATGAACATACATCGCAAAAATTAAATTTGACAAAAAAATTTAAGTACATAAAATTTCAAATCGTGCTAAATGGAATAAAATCGTGTAAAAAAAATAAAAATATTCAATTTTCAAACCGTGTTATATCAAAACCGTGTACAAAAAGACCGTGTAAAAACAGACTTAGGTGTATATATATATATATATATATATTTGTTGTTTTTGCAATTACATAACGACAGGGTCATTAACAAACGTTTCGACAATACGGCCCTGAACGAAACGAACACGTGGTTTCTTAATAGCGTGTCAAAATTTCTTAAAAAATAACAATAATCCCATCGCTTTTTAAATTTTCCAAAAAATATCAACACATGCTAAAAACTGCTTTGAGAAATTGTGACATTTCTATCCTAAACTCTGAAGAGTAAATACATAGTTTCGACAACTTGTCAAGTTATCATGATTATTAGTGTGTTTTACCATTTGTGATGTTTGTGTTAAAAAATATATATCTTATCAATGTGCACATACTCATACCATGGATTAATAATGGTTTCATATGCTATATTAGGATACAAAATTGTGTTTTATTATTATTAATATTATTATTGTTTTTCTATAAAATTTTTTACATAGAATTTATTTAGTTTCAATTTTTATAGTTAATTGGATTACCACTGAATGATGGCTAAGATGCTAGCCGAAACGTATGGATTTTAAATAAATAAACTTAAAAAAAAGCTCGCATACTATTTTTATTGATGTTACGCCCGAATATTAAACTCAAATTAAACATATATATATATATATATATATATATACTAGCTGACCCGGCGAACGTTATTTCTCCATATAAATTATTTCTAGTATGAAATACTTAGGGGCCGTCCATTATTCACGTGATCGATTTATTTAAAAGATCTTTGAACACCCCCTCGCCCTTGGTGATATGTGATGATATTCAAGTTTACCCCCCTCCCCCGCCAAACTTTACGTGTATTTTTAGTTACGAGAAAATATCGTATCATTTTTGAATTTTTTTTGAATATGTTTAGATTTTTCTAAAAAATTCAGGTAAAAAATAGATACATGTAATATCTTACTATTTCCCTCCTTCCCTTGCTTCCCCCACGTGATATATTGTGATTTGTTACATTATTAAACTAACCCCCCCCTCCCAAAAAAAAAAAAACTGAAATTCTAATCACCAATGTAAAACCATGTAACATATTATCAAACAAACAGATATCGAAATATGTTCATTAAAATTGTATAAAAAAAAAATTGCACTACATTTTTCAGAACAAATTTTTTTCTTCAATATATCTTTTTACTTCAATTCTAAGGAATATACAATATTTTTTGTCAGGCCTGTAGGTGTATAAATAAATTAATTATTTGAATTTCTAACTCTCGAGCAAGCCACATTTGATAATAATAATTTTGGCATACTTTTGAACGGCTTTGAATTCAATGTATATCACAAATATTATCTATCTATCAAACTACATACTCCATCTGCCAAACGTATACTGTATTTTAGATTATTTTAATTTCTGACACATCTCAGGTGCTTTTCGACAATAATAATGTAGACATTACATTTTTCTCATTCATAATCATTAAAATGATTATATTCTAATATTGTCTAGGCTCATAATTTTACCTAATTTCAATTGTTAAGTGAACTGACTTTTCTGGCAGATAACAGTTCGGAGTTCTGATGTTTAAAAATGTTTTTAATGTCAAACAATTGTTTGTTGTGTTTTTTACAATTTTTTCCATTTATTTCTATAATATCACTATGGTTTTATACCTCAAAAAATCTTTAAAAAATCCTTTGACAAATTCCAAAAAGATTTATCAAAATCTGAGTAACCGTTTAGGAGGAATTTGTATTGATGCATCCGTACAAAAGAATTTTATATATAAGATATATATATATATATATATATATATATATATAATTCTTCTGTATGGGTGTATGATTTGATACTTCTCCTAAACAATTATTCAGACTTGGATAATTCTTTCTAGAGTTTGTCAAAGGAAATTTTTAAAATTTAATAAACAATAAAACTATAGTAATATTGTGGAATAAAATGGCAAAAATGACAAAAAAACACTTATCATTGTTTGACATTGAAAACATTTGAACTGCCATCTGCTAGAAATGTCGAATCACTTGAAATTTGAATTTAGCTGAAATTATGAGCCTAGATAATATTAGAATATAATGAATAAGAAAAATGTAATTTCTACATTATTATTGTCGGAAAGCAGCTGAGATGTGCCAGAAATTAAAATAATATAAGTTACAGACAACAGTTTGTTTGGCAGATGAAATTATATAATTCAGTTTAATATATAATGCAACAAGACCAAAATTGCATATACGAGTACATTATTTTTTTAAACTTATGCATGTCATATTTTAGTTTACTTTACTAAATTATATAATACAAAAAAATAATTCTACTTACTTAAAAAATGATTTAGAATTTTGTTTCGTGTGCCAAAAATTCATTTGTTTGGCATTGAGTATGGAATATTTAGCAAGTTGATCGCAGATTGAAGAGTGCACATATAAACTAGATTTAACAAATTAATTTACTTAAGAATTGAATTTAAGCAATAATGTTTAATAAATTATTAGTAAGGAAAATGTACTTTAGAAACTATAATTGCCAAAAAGCAACTTATATATCATACAAGGTTATGAAAATTATGGACTAAATTATTGAAGCAATTATGTTGTGTGGTAAAATCAAGTGAGATATTGTTCTTTTACTGCAAATACTATATTATTTTTTTCTAAATTTCTTATACTGCTTATGCTAAGACCATAAATGAACCACAAAGGCAGGACATCAAATATGATATTAAAAAGTATAGGATAGGATATTAAAACATTTGGAACTTTTTGAATTGTAGATGTGTGTACAAGACATCTGTCGGGTTATCTAGTATTATATATATATATATATATATATATATATATATATTAATAAATCAATTATCCCTTATTACCTATCTTCCATCCGTGGTCTCCTGCCCTGTATTGCATATGCAGCGCTCGAGCTGCTCTTCAGCTCCCAGCTCTGTCTCTCGGCAGATGATTGTGTGATGATGAAAACATTTTTGTTCGGGTTATTCTGTCTACTCAATGAATACTGCAGCCTTCCCATGAGCCCCCGACTCCATACTTCGACAGCTTGCAAATATACCAACAACAGACACAATATAACACCACATATTAAAACCTCCGGCCTTAATAGATAGACTCTGCAAATTCTCAATAAATAATTAAGGGGTCCATTCAATGGGAAACCCACTGCGAATCGGGATAAAATTCTCATATGGGAAACGTACGTCTGATACAGTATTCGATCTTCGAGTTCGTCCTCCATTTAAGTGTGAATATATATTTGTGGAGTCGGCTATTTGTTTATCACAGATGGGGAAATGTAAATATTAAAAAAATATTTGCGCGCATAAGCAAAATAATAACATCATTGAGTGTTGAAATACATCATTTCGTTGCGAATGTCATAAATGTCATTCGGCGACGTAGAGTGTTGGTTTGGGGAAGATGCGCCTGAGACGCCGCGGGAACGATGACGGGCGTTTGTGGTACTAATAATTGTTACACAATAATATTTTGTTATTTTGATTTGTTATTAGTACTGGAAATTAATTATAATAATTATACTGTTGTTTTCTCATAATTTGCAAACGTAATATTGAAAATTATGAACAAAATGAGGCTTTATTTTAATTTTAAAACTTTAAATAGAAATCGAGGTTTTGAGAGAATCGAGTATCCGATTTGAATGATTCGAAAAACATTTGATTTGATGATTGGAAAAAGTGGTGTGTAGTTTTTGGCAAAGGCAGGTTCAGCTATTTTGGAGATATCGAGCTTATCGGAAAATTATTTATAAAATCTAATAAGCACAAAATCAAATGAAAACTATAAGGTAAGTTATAAAAATTGCAAAAATCGAAGATATATTATATATTTTTGCCTATTTTTACGTTTCAAAAGTTTCTGAACATTATGGCATATCTCAAAAAAAATGGGTGTGTGTGTGTTTTGTGTGGATACAATTTTCCATTTACCATTACAATAGGAATCGAATAAGCTTTGAATCATTCAAATCGATTGAGCGGTACTCTCGAAAGCGTCGGCAAAAAATTGTATCCACACATACACACACAGACACATCCATTTTTTCTAAGGTATTCCAAAATGTTCAGGAAACTCTCAGATATGCATATATTTTCTTTTTAGATATTTGAACGATTACTATAACTTACCCTACGGAAAGTTACAAATAGTCATGCTATTTTTGAGAGAGTACATCACCCGATTAGAATTATTCAAACGCGTTTTGCTTGTGTTATGGCGTTAAGAATTGATTAATTTTTAAAAATTTCAAGATTTTCATAAAATTCAAGTTAAATTTTCAAAAAATTCCAATGAAAATGATATATTGAAATTGAAATTGAAGCGCTTTTTATAAAATGCTTAGAAATATGAGATAGGATCTTCCTTAGAACGCCTTTGTTCAATTAGGGTTGATATGGTTTTGCTAACTTTCCATAGAGTAAGCTATAGTAATCGCAAAAAAATGGTAAATAATAATTTTTATATATCTGTACGTTTTAAACATTTCTGAACATTTTGGCATACCTTAAAAAAATTGAATGTGTGTGTGTGGATACAATTTATTGTCGGCGATTTCGAGAACACGGATCAACCGATTTGATTGATTCAAAAAACATTGTTTTTCTATTGATAGGGAGAAGGGCTGAATAGGTTTTGGCAAAGGCAGGTCAAGCCGTTTCGGAGATATGGAGTAAAGAGTGCAGAAAATTGCAATTCTATTTTTGAGATAACGGAGCGTCCGATTTTAATGATCTAAAAAACATTCAATTTGTAATGGTTGGGAGAAGAGGTGATTTGTTTTTGGCTAAGGCAGGTCCAGCCATTTCGAGGATACAGAGCTAAATGTGCAAAAAATGGCAGTTTTTGAGTGAACTAAGCGTCCGATTTAAATGATCTAAAAAACTTTCTGTTTGTATTGACAAAACAATTGCTTTTGAGGATAAAAAATTAGTACATATTTTTTCATTTTCCATAAACATTTTTGTAATTATGGATTAAAAATTCAAAAAATTATGCAGGTTAAACACAGTCTAAGCGCCACTCTGGTACAAATGTTTACCAAGTGCGTTTAGATGTATTGGAGCGTTTTTTCATATTTGTGAAGAAAACTATTGAAAAATGTGAAAATGCCGCCAAGCTAAGCACAGTATAAGTGAAAATGCTGCAGAGAATTATTTGCAAATGCGTTTGGACTGTGACTATACGGGAGTACTTTTTCAAATTAGGCAACTATTTTTTTTGAAATTGAATTCGAAATGAAATGACGATTGTTAATGTTCTGGAGATTGATTTATGATTTACATTTGATTTGCTCAGATATAACAAGATAGCAAAAATAATGAAAGTTACAGTATTTGTAATAATATATTTGAAAACGTTTAAAATTTCTCGAATTACGGTACGGAAAGTTCTAGCAATTTGCCTGAAGGCACGATGCCATACACCACTAGTCTCAGCTTTTTTCTGAACATTTTAGCATACCTTATAAAAATTTGTGTGTATTTGTGCGGATACAATTGTTAAATTACGGTACGGGAAGTTCCAGCAATTTTTCTTAAGGCATGATGCCAAACACCACTAGTTTCTACACCAATTGGCCCAAAATAGCTCAAAATCAACAATTTATACAAAATTTTACAAATCCACAATTTCAAACCAACTTTTCCTCCATTTCATCAAAACAACTGTCACGCCATCCCATCTATACATCTCTCAAACCTTTACCTATGGCTTTCGTACAAACTTCACTCCCTACTACTGCTCTTTAATTTAGTTATTTTACGCGTGCGGTGCTGTGAAGGTGTGTTTGTTGGTGCTTTGTGCTCTATAATGGTTTGACAAGTGTTTATTTAGTTAAAAGTGCCAAAAATATAAATAACAAATACAAAAAATGAGTGAAAGAAAGTTTACTAAGGTTATGACAAAGCCGGGAATGGCTGCACAGCTCAGGGAAACTGTCTCCCAAGTTGTCAGAGAGAGTACTGTTCAAGTTAGTCCTTTTGATAAAAAAAATAATTGATAGATTGATAGGAATTTGGTAAAATTAGTTGTAATATGGATGATAAATTTTTGGCGTATTTGTTTTGGTAAATTGGATTAAAATCGGAGAATGCCGCGTGTATTTTTAGACAACCTACAATTTGGTTATTCAATAAATACACAAAACTATTCTCTTTACACTTGCGGTATATGGGTAAAGGACGTTTTTGTGCTTTTTTGCAAATGATTTTTAAGTTTCTTCTAGGACATTATTATTTGTTGACATCACCGAAAACTAGATAAAATTTACTAAAATCTGGTAAAAACTGTTTTATACACTTGGATATTAAAATTTTGCATAATTTGTACTTCAAATGCGGTCTTCAGTATTTTGATGTAGTACATTTTTTTAGTTTTCTTCAAATAACTTTTAATTTTGATTCTAGGCATTATAATTTGTGGATATTAGTGAAAACTAGGTAAAATTTAATAAAATTCAGTTAAAACTTTTATTTACACTTGGATATTAAAATTTTGCATAATTTGTACTTGAAATGCGGCCTCCAGTATTTTGGTTGAGTACATTTTTTTAGTTTTTTTTTTTTCAAATAACTTTTAATTTTTTTTAGGACGTTATAATTTGTTTACATTAGTGAAAACTAGATAAAATTTACTAAAATCTAGTAAAAGTTTCTATATAGACTCTGATATTAAAATTTTCCAAACATTTTTTGTCCCACGCATACTTTCTTCTAGTTTTGGTCTCAAAAGATTCAGAATGACTTGGAACGTCGGGAAAATTTAAAACTGGCAAGTCGGATTTTCTGGTGAAAATACAAACTTCTTTTTTGGGAACTTAACTATAATATTCTTATAAATATTTATATCACAGTGTCTTATTTTAAATCTCATACTAAATAACTATTAAAATTAAAATATACATATAAACTATGATATGAAGATATTGAAAAGTTTAATTATATAAAAAAACTCATTTAGAAATTTTTTTAATAAAAGTAAAAATTGCCATTTAGGTAAAAAAATTCATACTCGTCTTTTGAGGCCACTTTTCCAAAAAAAACTATTCAAAAAAAATAATTACAATTTCTATATTATATTAATATAACTATAGTCATAGTGCAACTTATATTTTTCATTAAAGTCTTTGTATTACTTTTGATAGTATCAAAAAAAGGTTTCATAATATTTTTTATAAATTTTTAATAATGACATTATAAAACTAGTTGGTTTGGTATTTAGCCTTGAGGCAAGTTACATGAACTTCCCGATATGTGTAAATAATTGACTTAATCAAAAAAAAGTGTAAACAATATACTTCATCAATCCTACTTTAAAAAACGAGAATAATTTTAGTAAAGTTTGACGAATTTTTAAAATTAAACTACTTGTCGTAATGCCGTAATATTACAGTAAGTTCTATAAGACCATGATGTATATCGCCAAAAAAAAGTTCCATGAAAATCGGCTTAATTTTTTTTTTCAACAGTTCATTACAAGAAAACGGCTCGGTAAATTTTCACCTAAAATTAATCAGCATCATTCCCAAATGATATCTTTCGAACAGTTTTTGATTTTTTAAAATCGGTTCGGTAGGATGAGCTTAAATATGGACGAAAAGTTAAAAACTTTTTTTTAAATTGCAAAGAAACGGCTTGGCAGATCGTCGCACAAAACTGACAAACGATAGTCCTCACCGAAATACATCAAATGGCTTTTAAATTTCTGAAATCGGTTCAGGCGCTTTTGAGAAAACGTCGATCAAAAGTCTAATTTTGACAAATGTCAAAAAAACTATACCAATTTTTGCAAACTTCGACGAATTTTTAAAGCTAAACGAGTTGTCGTAGTGCCGTAATATTTTAGTATAACCTAGAAAACTATGGTATCTACCGTCCAAAAAAAAAATCATAAAAATCGTCGAATTTTTTTTTTTTAAACGTTATTACAAGAAAACGGCTCGGCCGATCTTTACCAAAAACTAATCAGCACGATTCCCAACCAATATCTATCGAATGGTTTTTGAATTTTCAGAATCGATTTAGAATTGCGGGCTAAAACGTGGGCGAAAAAATTTTCACTTTTCTGCAATTTACAACGAAACGGCCAGGCCGATCGCCGCACAAAACTCAGAGACGATAGTCCTCATCGAGATACATCGAATGGCTTTTAAATTTTTAAAATTGGTCCAGTCATTTTTGAGAAAACGTCGATTTACGGCAAAAAATCTGTTCACATACACACACACACACACATACACACACACACATACTTTTTCCAAATTTGGTCTCATTCGATTCAGAATGGCTTGAAACGTCGAGAAAACATAAAATTAGCAAATAGGATTTTTTGATGA